TTTTTTTTTTTAAAACTATCTTTAACCCATAGTTGTTTGAATCCACAGATATGGAGCTCCCAGATACAGAGGGCCAACTACATTCTTTTCTCCAGTCTAAGTTGTGCCATTTTACAACCTGCTTTTTGTTGTTGTTCAGTTTGGCTATTTCATATAGTTTTATTATTTAGAGCAGCTTTAAAAAGACTGAGAGGAAGCTACAGCGAAATCCCATATACAGGCAGTCCCCAGGTTATGAACAACATGGGTTCTGAAGGTTTATTCTTAGGGTGAATTTGTATGTAAGTTGGAATGGGCACATGTACCTAGTATCCATAATACCGTGTTTCCCTGAAAATAAGACCTACCCCCAAAATAAACCCTAGCAGGATTTCTATGCATTTGTTAAATATAAGCCCTACCCCGATAATCAGACCTGCATAGCCACGTCCTGCATTTAGGCGTCCTGCATTTAGGCGGTAAGGAAGACTGGAATACCTTTTATCTGACACAGCTCCTTTCTCTGAGCCATTCACACTTGCACAGGTGCGCATATGGTAACCACAGTCGCAGGCATCCTATTCAAATGTGCAAATGGCTAGGGGAAAGAAGTTCACGCATCACTAGCGCCAGCCCCACCAACAAGGTCGGCTCCCCCTGTCAGGTTCCAGAAGAAGATGACTTCACTGTATTTCAATAAATGTAGATTATTGTATTATACTTAATAAAAATAAGATATTCCCTGAAAATAAGCCCTGGTGTGTCTTCTTGAGAAAAAATATATATAAAACAGTGTCTTATTTTCAGGGAAGCCTGGTAGCCTCCATTTGTAAGTGCAAGTCGTACATAAGTTGGGTGTTTGTAACTTGGGGACTGCCTGTATCCCTTCCCCTATGCATAGCCTCCCCCACTATCAACATACCACATCAGAGTGGTCCATTTGTTATAACAAACTTACATTAACACATCCTTATCGCCAAAGTCTAAAGTTTACATTAGGGCTTATTCTCGGTGTGGCACATTGTATGGGTTTGGACAAATGTATAATGACATTGAGTGGACAATGGACAATGTATCCACTGTTGTTACAACAGACTCAGTAGTTTCACTGTCCTGAATCTTATGGGCTTCACCTAGTCATCAGCCCTTCTTGCCTAATTCCTGGCAACCACTGAATTTTCTACGTTCTCCAAAGATTTGCCTTTTCTAGAATATCACATAGTACTTGCTTCAGCAGCACATATACTAAAATTGGAATGATACAGAGAAGATTAGCATGGCCCCTGTGCAAGGATGACACACAAATTCACGAAGCGTTCCATATTTTTGTTGCTACTAATGTTCTTAGGTGCAGAAACCAAGATTCTGGTAAGCTAAGTGACTCACCCAATTGAATTATCTTCGGGTTTCACATCCCTATCAAAAACATTCACATCTCGGCTCGGCGCCTGTGGCTCAAGTGGCTAAGGCGCCAGCCACATACACCTAAGGTGGCGGGTTCGAATCCCCAGCCCAGGCCCACTAAACAACAATGATGGCTGCAACCAAAAAATGGCCAGGCGTTGTGGAGGGCGCCTGTGGTCCCAGCTACTTGGGAGGCTGAGGCAGGAGACTCGCTTGAGCCCAGGAGTTGGAGGTTGTTGTGAGCTGTGATGCCGTGGCACTCTACCCAGGGGAATAGCTTGAGGCTCCATCTCAAAAAAAAAAAAACAAAAACAAAAAAAACCATTCACATCCCAAATCAAAAATCTAGTGCTATCTGGACATGGTGGGGCTCATGTCTGTAATCCTAGCTCTTTGGAAGACCAAGGCTGGTGGATAGAGCTCAGGGGTTGGAGATGAGCATGAGTGATACCCCCACGCTCTCAAAATCAAATAAAAAAATAAAATTAAAAAAAATAGAATGTCACATAAGTAGAAATCAGACAGGACGTAGCCTTTTCAGATTGGCTTCTGTCACTTAGCAATATGCTTTGATGGTTTCCTCATGTCTTTTCATGGCTTGATAGCTCATTTCTTTTCAACACTGAATAAAATTTGTTCTTTGGATGGATCACAGTTTTTCCATTCACCTGCCGAAAGATAACGTGGCTGCTTCCAAGTTTGGGCAATTATGAGTAAAAACTGCTATGAACATCACTGTAAGGCTTTTGTGTGGACAGAAGTTTTCAACAAATTTGGGTAAATATGGTACAGCAGGATTGCTGGATCTTTTGGTAAGAGAATGTTTAGTTTTTATAAGAGACTGCCACACTGTGTTCCAAAGTGCCTGTACCATTCAGCAGGGTACAACAGTGAATGAGTTTTAGATTTTGTGTTCTTCCACATCCTTGCCAGCATTTAGAGTTGTCAGTGTTTTGGATTTTTACCATCCTAATACGTACACAGTGGCATCTTATTGTCTTAATTTGCTTTGACCTGATAACATATGATGTGGAGCATCTTTTCATACACTTATCTTTTGCATGTATACCTTCCATACCTTCCTTGATGAGTTGTTTATTACAGTCTTGGCCTGTTTTTTTTTTTGTTTGTTTGTTTGTTTTTACTGTTGAGCTTAAAGAGTTCTTTATATATTTTGCATAACATTTCCTTATCAGAGATACTTTTGCAAGTATTTTCTCCAACTCTATAGCTTTTCTTCTCCTTCACCTGACAGTGTCTTTCACAGAATAGAACTTTTTAATTTTAATGAAGTCCAACTTATCAATTCTTCCTTTCATGGATTATATGCCTTTGGTGTTACATCTAAAAAGTCATCTCCAACCTCAAAGTCATCTAGATTTTCACCTATTATCTTCTAGGAGTTTTATAGTTTCATGTTTTACTTTTAGGTTTGTAATCCATTTTGAGATAATTTGTGTGAAAAGTGTAAGGTCTATGTCTAGTTTTTGTTTTGTTTTGTTTATTCTGCTCATGAATATCCTGTTTTTCAAGCACCATTTGTTGAAAGGACTATCTTTGGGGCTTTGTCAAAAATCAGTTGACTATAGTTATACCAGTCTCTATTTCTGTGCTCTCTATTCTGTTCCATTGATACCTTTTTTTCTTTTTCACCAATATCATACAAGCTTGGTAATAATGGCTTTATAGTAACTTTTTTTTTTGAGACAGAGTCTCAAGCTGTTACCCTCGGTAGAGTGCTGTGGCATCACAACTCACAGCAACCTCAAACTTTTTTTTTAATTAAATCATAGCTATGTGCATTAATGCAATCATGGGGTACAGGGTGCTAGTTTTAAATACAATTTGAAATATTTTCACCAAACTGGTTAACATAGGCTTCATGGCATTTCTTAGTTATTATGTTAAGACATTTATATTCTACATTTAGCAACCTCAAATTCTTGGGCTTAAGTGATTCTCTTGCCTCAGCCTCCCAAGTAGCTGGGACTATAGGCACCCGCCACAACACCCAGCTATTTTTTTTTGTTGCAGTTGTCATTGTTGTTTAGCTGGCCCGGGCCAGGTTCGAACCCGACACCCTTGGTTGTCTGTGTCTGGCACCCTACCCACTGAGCTATGGGCACTGCCTTATAAGTAAGTCTTGAACTTGGTAATGTCAGTCCTCCAACTTTGTTCTTCTCTGTCAATATTGTGTTAACTATTTTGAGTCTTTTTTCTCTCCATATAAACTTTAGACTCAGTTTGCCAATATCCACAAAATAATCTGCTGGAATTTTGATTGGGATTTAAAGTGATTTACATTGAATCTATGGATCAAGTTGGGAAGAACTGACATCTTAACAATATTGAGTGTTTCCATGAACATGGAATACCTCTCCATTTATTTAGCTATTCTTTGATTGTTTTATTCAGAGTTTTATCATTTTCCTCTTATAGATCTTGCATATATTTTGTTAGATTTCTACTTGAATATTTCATTTTGGGAGGTACTAGTATAAATGCCAGTCTGTTCTTAATTTCAAATTCCACTTGCTTATAGCTGGTATATAAGAAAGCAGTTAACTTTTGTACATTAACTTTGTATCCTGCAACCTTGCTGTGATTATTCATTAGTTTCAGGAGTCTCTTTGTTGATTCTTTTGGATTTTCTACATAGACTATCTTGTCATCTGAAAACAATGACAATTTCTCCTCTAATATCATACCTTTTATTTCCCTTTCTTGTCTTATTACATTAGCTAGGATGTCCCAGTACATTATTGAAAAGAAGTGGTAAAATATCATTTCCTTATTAGGATCTTTATTCCTGATCTTAGTAAGATTTCAGTTTCTCATCAGTAAGTATGATGTTAGCTGTAGGTTTTTGTACATATTCATTATCAAGTTGGGGAGGTTCTCCCTCTCTTCTTAGTCTTCTGAGAGTTTTGATCATGAATGAGTGTTGGGTTTTGTCAAATGGTTTTTCTGTATCTATTTATATGATGATATGATGTTCTTTTTTTGTTTTTTTTTTCTTTTTGAGACAGAGCTTCATTTTGTTGCCTTAGTAGAATGCTGTGGAGTCACAGCTCACAGCAACCTCAAACTCTTGGGCTCAAGTGATTGTCTTGCCTCAGCCTCCCAAGTAGCTGGGACTATAGGTGCCTACCACAATGTCCAGCTATTTTTAGAGATGGGGGTCTCACTCTGGCTCAGGCTGGTCTTGAACCTGTGAGCTCAAGCAATCCACCCTCCCTGACCTCCCAGAGCATGGGGATTACACCTGGACCTGATGATGTGATTTTTCACGTGTAGCCTTTTGATGTGATGGATTATATCCACTGATTTTCAAATATTAAGCCATCCTTGTATAACTGAGGAAAATCCCACTTGGTTGTGTTGTAGAATTCTTTTCATACATTATTTAAATTTATTTGCTAATATGTTGTTGAAGATTTTTATATCTATATTCATGAGATATATTGGTTGATAGTTTTATTTTCTTCTTTTGTTTTTGTTTGTTTGTTTGTTTGGTTTTTTTGCCAAGGCTGGGCTAGGTTTGAACCCACCACCTCTGGCATATGGGGCCAGCACCCTACTCCTTGAGCCAGAGTCGCTACCCCCGATAGTTTTATTTTCTTATGATGTCTGTCTGCTTTTAGTATCAGGATAATGCTGACCTCATATAATGAGTTAGAAAATATTCCAGCTCAGCACCTGTAGCTCAGTGGCTAGGGCTCCAGCCACATACAGCAGAGCTGGTGGTTTCAAACCCAGCCCAGGCCTGCCAAAAAACAAAAAATAGCCAGGCATTATGGTGGGCGCCTGTAGTCCCAGCTACTTGGGAGGCTAAGGCAAGAGAATTGCTTAAGCCCAAGAGTTTGAGGTTGCTGTGAGCTGTGACGCCATGACACTCTACTGAGGGGAACATAGTGAGACTCTGTCTCAAAAAAAAAAAAAAAAAAGAAAGACAGTATTCCATATTCTTCTAGCTTCTGGAAGAGGTTTTAGGGAATTGGTATAATTTCTCCATTAAACATTTAATAAAATTCACCAGTGGACCCATTTGGGCCTGGTGATTTCTGCTTTGGAAGGTTATTAATTATTGATTCAACTTAATAAATATAGACCTATTCAAATTGTCTATTTCTTCTTCTATAAGTTTTGGCAGATTGTATATTTCAAGAAATTGGTTCATTTCATCTAGGTTACCAGATCTGTGGGCATAGAATTGATCATAGTATTCCTTTATCATACTTAGTTTATGAGATCTATGCTAATGTCTTTCTTATCATTTTTTTCTCATATATTTATCTGAAATCCAGACTATCATTTCTGATATTAGTCATTTTTGTCTGCTCTCTTTTTTTCTTAGCCTAGATAGAGGCTTATCAATTTTATCAGTCATTTCAAAGAAACAGATTTTGGTGTTGTTGATTTTCTCTGCAGATTTTATTTTCTGTTTCATTGATTTCTGCTCCAATTTTTATTTCTTTTCTTCTGCTTATTTTGGATTTAATTTCCACTTCTTTTTCTAGTTTTGTAAGATAGAAGCTTGGATTATTGATTTTACATCTTTTTCTTTTTTAATATACTTATTTAATGCTTTTAATTTACCTCTAAGAACTGCTTTTATTGTATTCCAAAAAATCCAATAAGTTGTATTTTCATTTTCATGTAGTTCAAACTATTTTAAAATTTCTCTTGAGTATTTTTCTTTAAATAATCTGTTATTTAGAAGGGTACTGCTTAATCTCAACATATTTTGGGATTTTTTTTCCAGCTATTTTTCTCTTATAGATTTCTATTTTAATTCCATTGTGGTCTAAGAGTATTATATAATTTTATGTTCCTTTAAGTTTGTTAAGGTGTATTTTATGACTCAGGATGTAATCTATCTTGGTGAATCCTCCAGGTGAACTTGAGAAGAATGGGTATTCTGCACTTGTTGCATAAAGTAGTTCATAGGTATTAATTATACCCAGCTGATTTATGGTGCTATTAAATTCGGCTATACCCTTACTAATTTTTTGCCTGCTGGATCTGTCCCTTTCTTACAGAGGTGTGTTGAAGTCCTCAACTATAATAGTGGATTAATCTATTTCCCCTTGCAGGGTCTATCAGTTTTGCTTTATGTATTTTGATACTATTGTTAGGTACATACACATAAGTGATTGTTATTTCTCCTAAGTAATTTCTTAAGTCTAAGTTTATCCTATGTTATACCATATGATTTTACATGCTGATTTTTTTTTTCTCACCCCAAACAGAATTTTTTTTTTTTCAGTTTTTGTCTGGGGCTGGGTTTGAACCTGCCACCTCCAGCATATGGGGCTGGCGCCCTACTCCTTTGAGCCACAGGTGCCAAACAGAAATTTTTAATAGGCACAGGCTGTTTGTACTCTACAAGTTCAATATTTCCTAATCAACTTGGTTCAGACAAATCTGTAATGATTCACTATAGAGGGGCAGGAAAGTGCCATGTGTATGCTGTGAAGAGTGGTAGGATGGGGTATAGGGAATCAGGTGGGGAGCAGGTTCAGAGTGAGCCTTTGTCAGCTAGCAGCTATCATCACCAAGAGAGATGACAGAAAAACAAGTAGGAGGTCTTATTGAGATTGGGCGAGAGAATAGCTTAGCACAAACACAGGCTGGATGGAGTGATGTTCCTTCCATCTGAACACCTGGCTGTTGGCACAGAGAGTCAGGACCAGCACTACAAGGTGGAAGGAAGTTCAAGTGCTTCTTGAAAGTGGCGCCAAAGACATGGGCAAAGTGCAAACCAAGGTTCAGAGATCATTAAGATGAGATGTTGGGGTCAACCCACTCACCCAGTCTGAATGTCCAATAGGTCTGCCAGATGGGGCCTCCAGTCTATTCTGAAACTCAGGGACTCCACTGTTCCTTATCTTTCTCACCAGTGGCCCTGGAGTTGGCATATAACTTCCTGCCTCCTGAGCTGCTGAGCTACAATTTGAAAGTGAGTCTTGATAAATGTTTGGCACGTAAACCCTCTTAGTAACTGCCTCTGGGAATTGTTTCATTTACTGCCTCACTTTGCCTGGCTATAGGCCAAGTATTCCCCTGTCTTCTTGAATCCTAACTTTGATTGGTGTGTCTCTGTTTTGAGTGGAAAAAGGAAAATGGGCTCTAAAGAAAAAATCTGTCATTGTTAAATAAGAGGTTGGGCAAGGGGTAGAATTAACAGCACTGCCTTTGATGCCACTGAATCAGCTGGGTTTCCAGCTATTCTTCAGTTCCAAGATCTCCAAGTCCTGCTCACAGTGCAGTCAGCCCCTGGGCTTCAGAACTTTCAGGCTCCTTTACACTGTAGTAACCCCCTGAGTAAGTTTATAGTGCCAAAAACCCCACTGGCTCCAAAGACAAAAGTCGGCCTTGTGTTGCCCTCTGAGAGGCTATGGCATCTTTTGTGGACTAAAATGTCTCCTGAGCCATCTTTTCTCATTGGAATACAGTTGGTGCTTTTCCATAACTGATTAGTAGAGAATGTCCCATGATTGGCAGTAGGATCCTCCGATAAGCATTGCCTTAAAGCAAGTAGACACCAGTGTAGTAGAATCTAGGGGAGATTTTTTTGATTCAAATGAATGAAGTCTTGAACTTTGAATCAATGTATGAACAAGTGCTGTGGAAGGACCAGTGGGAATAGAGCAAGAGCAAAGGAACACAGTGATGCAGGTTTCATGCTGAGTCAGACACCCCTCAGT